TTCATCACCTAGGGTGCAGAATAAGTTATTCTTCATCCCAGGTAATTTTACGATCGTTTCATAAATAAATTATGTTTAAAATACAAATAGTTACATTCATATTGATTCACTACATAAAATTTGACATAAGATCAGAAAAATGCATTTTATGTATATTTTACACTATGCTTTACGTTTGTAATTTTAAGTAACATAAATATTTTTTACTGTGACTATATATTTTCTTACGATCTAGTTTTACGTATAAAATAAGACAAAACTTACGGAACGTAAAATTATGGTGCATTGATGGTAAAATAGAGGGGGGTGAAGAATAACTATTCCTCACCCAGGGTGATGAATAGTGTATATATATAGGACAAATGTTTCCTACAAGTAGTGGTAGTTACCACCACTTGCGTTTTGTATGTTGTATGTAGTATCTGTCGAAACAGGCAGTATGTATGTGTAGTATGTAGTATATAATAATGTTTAGGTAGTATATATACTAATTTTTAGGTAGTATGTATCATATTTTGAGTATATTCTTTTTTTACGTACAAATATGTACGTATTTCATAAATATAACAAAATCTTTGTGCTCATGTGCATTTTTTCGTGTAACTAGCTTTGTAATATCTTAGATATAGTATATGAACATATTTAAAATGATAAAATACTATATATAATAGCACATGGTAGTATGTGAGACATGTGGGGTAACTACCCCCAGGTGGTAGGGAGACCAAATCAACATTGCGAAGATAAACTTTGAAGTCAAACCAATGTTGAAGACAAACCAAACATGAAGATAATGCAATCATGACACCAAATGAAAATCTTCAAGAAAGTGTGGTGGTGGCGTTATCCGCCGTATAGGAAATATTACACTCAGACACGGCACACAATTATCGTGGCGCTCCGAAGTTAAATTCCACATTAATGTATTCACACTTATCAAGAAGTCTTCATGAATTGAAGATATATGTTACTTCGTGTGTTGCACATCTAAGTCATCAACATGCATAAGCGTTAGGATGTGTGTCCATTCACAGGACAATCGAGGATTCTAAGATATTTAGCTCACACCACAGCTTGCAAAACCTTTTCTCATCCAAGGACTTCGTGAAGATATCTGCCAATTGCCCTTCT